GATACCAGTAATCCAAGTAATGTTATTTTGATAATGAATATCCCGGCCAAGAATAATAAACCTGCTCGTGCGTAATTTAAAAATTAATCGTGTTCATACGGTTCTAAAGTTGCTCTTTATCTTTTAGGTGATGTAATTCTTCTACCACGTCGACAGCAGATCGGTGAAATATTGAAAACAGTTTTATCCAAAATTCCAGATGATGGTAAACGTCTGTCAGATAATGAATGTGTTAAAACATTACATGAAACGAATCTTTGGATATCAAGAAACAGAATACAAATGATTTTAGGGTTATTGTAAGTATAAGTGGCTGCTCTTATCTTTCAAACCGAACTTAATTGATTTCTCCGGTTTCTTTTAGAGGTGATGGTAAATGTTTTTATGATGTTGTTGATGAAGTGTCATTAAGCGAACAAGGTAAGAACTTTTTTCCCTCTAAAATGGACACTTAAAAGGCTTTCAAAACGGTACTTTTTTTTTAGAAGTTGATGATGAACCACCTCCTGCAACTCGTCCAATTCTAAAAGAAACCAAAGCAACCGAACAGGGTAAAAAAGAAGCTGGTTCTGAGACCTTTTCTTATCGAAAGATGAGTTAATTGTTCTACTTTTTTGTTTCTCTTTCTCTTTGATAGTATCGATTAAGAAAAATCCAACATCCAGCACAGGTGAAGATAAAGACAAAGAAAATGAGGATCAACCACAACCACGTATAATCAAAGAGGGTTTATTTACCCCTAATAGCTAACGAAAGTCAATAAATGACGTAAAATATAAACAAAAAATATTCGATTGACGATCATCACTTCATGTCTTAATAAAAAACAATTAGCCGGAAACTATGTTCTATGAACACATAATTGAGGATATGTTCCTTCCTCTCTTGTCCAGCCCGAGCTCTGTTCCTCTTAATTTCTTTGCCGTCTACTCACATTTACCGACTATGTAAGAAGTCATCTGTTCTTTCAACATTCATTTTTCTGATGATGATGTGTGCAACATATTGAAAGCTCGAA